AGAAATTCCACATGTGATTTCCTATTTAAGAATGATTTGTCTTCTTGACAGACAAGATAGCTGCTTTATCACCATTGGAGCCACTGTCAAATCTGGCCAGAGACCAAGAAGGGAAGCTAGGCATGGGGGGAATTTCTAGAGGACTAATTTCCAGTTTGTCTGAGAGTTCACGGAATTCAGTGGATCACCATCCAAAATCTTGGTCTGACTTGTATATGCTAATGACTTGTATAGGCTAACGGTAGCAAATAATATGAATGCAAACAGGACCAACACCAATTTGATCCAGCATGAAAGCAGTCTGTTCTCTAGCTCATTGCCAGAAATATTTAGTAGAAAGCGTAAGATATCCTCTTTATGCATTTTGAGCTTGTATGTTCTTGACGTGTTTGCTCTGTTCCTCTCAGATTTCCTAAAAGAAGATACTTTATTGGACTTAATGCTTGATGGTTTGACAGATAACCCTTTTAATTTGCCAATGTAGCGTTCCAAACATTAATGGCAAACATAAGTGTAGAAGTACAAAAATTATTTTTCTTATTTGTTATAATTTGTCTCTCTGTGTCCCAGGCATTTCCTCTTAAACATTAATGTCAGAAAATCAAGCATTTCGTGTAAAGAAATCAAAAATAGTTTTAAAAATCATTCTATTTGCTTAATTTCTTGTCTGATTTGTGCTTTAATTTTCTTTTCTTTATGTAGTGCAATTATTGAGGAATGATGCTCCAACTCTTCTACCTAGCTTTAAGGTTGGTTCAGACCATGAGGAAGAACCTTTAGAATCCCTTGAAGAAATTGAGGTGCAGGCCATTGGAAGTCTCCTTCCTGACGAAGATGATCTTTTTTCTGGAGTAATGGGACTTGATACTCCTGCCAATAGGGATGATGAATTAGAGGATTTTGACCTATTTAGCAGTGGTGGGGGCGTGGAATCGGAAAGTGATGATCGTTTAGGTGTGGGTCAAGGAAACTTAGATATTGTAGGAGCATCTAATGGTTCAATTGTTGGTGGACATCCTTCTAGAACACTTTTTGTGAGAAACATAAACAGTAATGTTGAAGATTCTGAACTCAAGGCACTTTTTGAGGTTTGTATTCCTTCATTTTTTACAATATTTGTTGGAATCTTTGTCTCCTCTGATGACCTGTGGGAACATTTTTAAGCAAATTGGATTGATGGTTGTTTCCTGTCAGCAATATGGAGATATCCGTACTCTCTATACAGCCTGCAAGCATCGTGGTTTTGCCACAATTTCTTATTATGATATAAGGGCAGCCCAAAATGCAACGAGAGCTCTCCAAAATAAGCCATTGAGGCATAGGAAACTAGATATACATTATTCTATTCCAAAGGTTGTCATTGCTGTTACTAGCTTCATTTATTTGGTTCTTTCATCTTGGTGTAACACTTTGTCTGATGAATTTTTTCTTTGCTTGATAATACAACAGGGTAATACATCTGAAAAAGATGTCAATCAGGGAACGCTGGTGGTTTTCAATCTTGATGCCTCTGTTTCAACCAATGGGCTTCAACAAATTTTTGGTGTTTTTGGAGAAATTAAAGTATGTGGTTCAATGGGTTCCTTAGGTTTACATTCACTTTTAATAGAGTGATGAGTATTGTGGTTAACTCTGCTTTGCAGATCCATGAGATTTCACCT